TGCTGGTTGCTGGCTGCTGGTTGCTGGCTGCTGGGTGCTGGCTGCTGGTTGCTGGTTGCTGGGCGCTGGCTGCTGGCTGCTGGTTGCTGGGCGCTGGCTGCTGGCTGCTGGCTGCTGGGTGCTGGGTGCTGGCTGCTGGCTGCTGGTTGCTGCTGCTGCTGCTGCTGCTGGTTGCTGCTGCTGCAGCTGGTTGCTGCTGCTGCTGCTGCTGCTGGTTGCTGCTGCTGGTTGCTGCTGCTGGTTGCTGCTGCTGGTTGCTGCTGCTGGTTGCTGCTGCTGGTTGCTGCTGCTGCTGCTGCTGGTTGCTGCTGCTGCTGCTTGCTGCTGGATACTGCTGCTGCTGGTTGCTGCTGCTGCTGCTGGTTGCTGTTGCTGCTGGTTGCTGCTGCTGGTTGCTGCTGCTGCTGCTGCTGCTGGTTGCTGCTGCTGCTGCTGCTGCTGGTTGCTGCTGCTGCTGCTGCTGCTGCTGGCTGCCGCTGTTGCTGCTGCTGCTGGTTGCTGCTGCTGCTGCTGCTGGTTGCTGCTGCTGCTGCTTGCTGTTGCTGCTGGTTACTGCTGCTGCTGGTTGCTGCTGCTGCTCCTGCTGGTTGCTGCTCCTGCTGATTGCTGCTGCTGTTTGGCTGTTGCTGTTGCTACTTCTTGCTGGTTGCTGCTCCTGCTGTTTGGCTGTTGCTGTTGCTACTTCTTGCTGGTTGCTGCTGTTGCTTGAATCCTGAAGACTGCTGCTGCTGCTTTGCTGTCCCCCCCTCTTTCAACTTCGTCTGCGCAACCCCCCAAAAACTGAACGAAAACCAAGGGTTGTGGAGGCCAAACTTGTGTGAGCTTTGGTGCTTTGCTGCTGCTGCTGCTGCTGCTGCTGCTGGTGCTGCTGCTGCTGCTGGTGCTGCTGCTGCTGGTTGCTGCTGCTGCTGCTGCTGGTTGCTGCTGCTGCTGCTGGTTGCTGCTGCTGCTGCTGGTTGCTGCTGCTGCTGGTTGCTGCTGCTGCTGGTTGCTGCTGCTGCTGCTGCTGCTGCTGGTTGCTGCTGCTGCTGCTTCTGCTGCTGCTGCTGGTTGCTGCTGCTGCTGGTTGCTGCTGGTGGTTGCTGGTTGCTGGTTGCTGGTTGCTGGCTGATGGTTGCTGGTTGCTGGTTGCTGGCTGCTGGCTGCTGTTTGACTGTTGCTGTTGCTGCTTCTTGCTGGTTGCTGCTTCTGCTGGGTGCTGCTGCTGCTTGGCTGTTGCTGTTGCTACTTGTTGCTGGTTGCTGCTGTTGCTTGCATCCTGAAGACTGCTGCTACTGCTTTGCTGTCCCCCCCCTTTCAACTTCGTCTGCGCAACCCCCCAAAAACTGAACGAAAGCCAAGGGTTGTGGAGGCCAAACTTGTGTGAGCTTTGGTGCTTTGCTGCTGCTGCTGCTGCTGCTGCTGCTGTTGCTGTCGTTGCTGCTGCCACTGGTGCCCCTGTTGCTGCTTTCTGCTTTGCTGTGCTGGTGCTGCTGCTGCTGCTGCTGGTTGCTGCTGCTGCTGCTGGTTGCTGCTGGTTGCTGCTGCTGGTTGCTGCTGAAAATCTCCGCGGCGCAGGGTGGAGTCGAATGGGGGCCCGACATTTAAAACCAACTCTTAAACCACCGAACTCAGGGACAGGAGCCTGCGACCAGCCCCAATACATTGCTAAAGCAAGGCAACTCAGGTAGCGTAACCGCTACCTTTCGTGATTAGTAGCTTCTTGTTGCAAATGGTAAGGCCAGGGGATGCTCCTAGTAGCAATGCCTTTGTTCCTAGTACTGTAGCTTTGAGATCTGCATCAAAACCCGAGGCCGAGGGTTGGTGACGAAAGCCAGCAGGGCGGGGGTGAAGCGGGGGATATCCGATCGAGAAAGGTAAGAAAATATAAGACACTCCCAAACTGACCAAGTCTGCCAAGTCTTCCAAATTCGACGGGCGAAGTGCTTTGTGTGGGGGATGTGGGAGGGGATTTTGCCACAGAACTCTTGAACCCAAGATGCTGGGTCCAATTTCCATGTCTGCTGTTCAAAAAAAGATCGGTGCGTCTTGTTCGCCACAGGAACAGTCAGCCCCTTGCCAGCGGAAATGCACCCGTCCTAGAGACGTCCCAGGGAGGAGTTGAACCCGCGGGGGGTGAGGGGCCCCCCCCCTATATATGAAGTTTTGCGGCGCTCTCGAGGATTCCAGCCCCTCACTTGCCAAAGCAAGAAAAACTCCAGCTAGCTGGTGCTAGCTTGTCACTTCTTTCAACTTTCACGCCCACCTTCCACGGTCAACAATACCCGAACAACAATGGACCAGGAAGGAATCGAAGCATATCGAAGCGGCTACCCCACAACAGCTTAAATTTGCTTAAATGATTGACTGCCCAAACGCAGGCGACAAAGAGTTCCGCCACCCCTATCGGAGAGTTCCACCACCCCTATCATCTTTTTATATGATTTTGCTTTAGCGGGAATCTCAGGCAGCCGAGGTTACCATAGGCTACCTACCTTTCGTGATCAACTGAAGTAAGTTAGCATCAGAATTCGCAGACTTGTTTCAAAGTCTTCCTGCACATCTATTCCACTGCTTGACAGCACTCGGGTCAATATCGAACCAAGTAGCCGCTCAAGCTCCAACGCTTCCTGAGAGATTCATCGCATGACACCAAACGTATCCTTTCGTCAAATGTTGGGAGTCATCCACGTACTTGGTCCGGCCTGCTGCTCGTTGCGCTCGAAGAGATACTTTCCATGTTTCTCCTGCCAAAGTGGAACTCTTTCAAAATTATTCTAAGAGGTGCAGTGCTGCATGGGAGAGCCATGCTGCGGGCAGCCTCCAATCTTTGGTAAAAGTCCAGCACCCCATCTGGATGCTGCGATTCCTTGGCTGAACAGCACGCCAAGCGAGCTAGCGTCAAATCTGATGAATCCTTCTGCAACTTTGGATCCAGGTGGTCCAAGCGTGTGTCACTTTGAGCAGCCACAACCTCAGGGGTGAATGGAAAGCACTGCTGCAACATGTTCTTGGTCACTATCACTTCGCCAAGAGACTGGGAAACTGTTTTTGAGTCCAGGTAATGGGGCCTTACCTTCAGCCGGCAGGTCCTTGTGCACTTCCTCAACAGCAGCAGAATCTGGGAGAACACTGCTCAATCTAGCACAATTCAGTGTCGTGACTCACGACTCATCTGCAAACACGGCCCAGCTTCTCAACAAGACACTTCAATTATTGGAATGCTTCACAACAGCACCAATCATAGCAAATGCTGTCGTGCCTGACACTTGTCACATCGGACTAGATCTGGAAAGGCCTCTGCTCTTGCTGTGCTCTGCAAGTCAATCTCTAAATTCAGTGTACACATATATTATATATGTACTGTTTTTTGCACGATGAATTGAGTTGCCTCACGGCCTGGGGCCCCAATCAAGGTTAATTTTGAAAGGTCAAATTTTTCGCTGAGCATTATGGGACATAATGCACGGGGAGTACACACGGCCTCTGGCGCCAAGTGGCCAAATGAACCGGGCATCTTTGTGCTCTGTCACCTGCCGGCCAAATGCACACATCAAAAAGCTATGTGGCAATGTGGATGGCTAGTTCACTAAACACCTCGTGATATTAAACGCCCAACTGTACCTTACATTGCATGTCAGTCTTGTGAAATACCGTGATGCAATCCGCAAGGTGCCAAAGAGCAGGATGCAAAATGATTCAAACAGTTTATACAGTTGAAATGGCCTTGCGGTGAACTTGGCTCCTCCTCTGACATTTACGGCACCTTAGAAGTAGTAGTAGTAGTAGTAGTAGTAGTAGTAGTAGTAGTAGTAGTAGAAGTAGTAGTTGTAGTAGTAGTAGCAGGAGTAGTAGTAGTAGTAGCAGGAGTAGTAGTAGTAGTAGTAGTAGTAGTAGTAGTCAAACTTCAAAATAACCAATTACCGCAAGCTGTACCATGGCTCTCTCTCTCTCTCTCTCCAGAGTCTGACTGAAGCCCAGCAATACCATGGCTTCCCTTGAGTCTCGTGAAAAGAATCTACAGTACGTGACAAGTGGCTTTTTGGGGAACCCGGCTCTCCACGACTCAAACGACATGCCCTTAAGGCGGGTCTTGAGCCGGCTGCCGGACCGGCAAAGCAGGGCGGACGAGTGCAACTGATCTACCAGTGCTAGTGCACCTAAGCATACCTCGAAGTGGGCGCAAAGGCCCAAAGCTGAAGACCGCTCTGATATTGTCAATGCAGTCCCGTCACACATATTCACTCATCACGAGGGCGAGATAATAGGTGATATCAAACCAAATTTAACCAATGAAAATCAGCTGCACCAGAACTTGGGGGGTGCTCTCAGCTACCCATCGTGTGCACACCGTGCACGATTAGCAGCGAATCCGATGGATGGAATGTCATCGATTTGGCGCGGTCACTTTGCGTCGGAGACGTATGCAAAAATTTGACATGGAGTGCTTGAGAGGGCTTGGCTTGAACCACGTGGCGTGCCGCTGATGAAGCCGAGGGCTGGCGGGCAAAGCATAGCACGCGATTGATGGACATTGCTGCCTTCATTGACTTGTCTTGAGTGTGAGGAGATGAGTCAGCACAAGTTCAGAAGAGTGATCAAAGTCAAATGATGAAGCATGACAAAGCTCTGACTTAAAAATTGCATCTCCAAAAGCTGCCTGTGGTGTTTAGTGACCCAATTTTGGCACAGGAGTAAGAACACCCCAAAGCTCGGAACAACCGTAGCGCAGCGGCGAACATTTTGCGTCAATACATCCCGCCACTGCGCCACGCGGGATTTGATGCTTGATGCTAGTCCAGGTGCATCTGCAACCTGAGAGATTGAACACAGCTGATGCGCAAGTGTGTTAATTGATTGACGGACTTCATTCGGTCAAATGACTTCACTTCAAAATCACAAGGATGAACCTCTTGAATCAAGGGATCAATTTCCGAAGCCTCGGCGGGACTTTCTGCACTTCTGTCAGCAGAACCTGGCAAAGCCTCAGTGACACGTACAGGACTGTGGATGAGCTCAGCATCATACCGACCAGTTGCACAATACTGACCTTTCCCGAGCCGTGGTCTGTATGTTTATATGAGCCCCGAGCCGCTGCACGTTCTAGGCTTCGGATCCTCTCTGACAGTTGCTCTTTCTCCCTGTGGTATGACTCCTCAAAAGCTTGCTCAAAGCTCTTGACCATAAGCGACCTGTTTTTTAAATCCCGCCCTTACTTAATTAAGTAGGCGCCTAATTAATGAAGAGAGTAAGCTAGTAGCTACCAAAGCTTCTAGTAACTGGATGCGCTCGCAGCCGCTCGCACTAATAATTTGGTTCGTAGATTTTCAGGAAAACTTACTAACCTCATCTAACCTCCAGGTGTTCTTTACTATCTTCCGGTATGCACATGCACCCCGTAGCACCTTGGGCTAATGCAACATGTCATTCTTGGAGAGTGTCGTGCTGTATGATATCTTCGCACTTCCGCAGCGCCGTGTTAATTACGTCCTGCCGGTCCAGCAACTTCTTGAGAAGTGTTAGGACACGCATCACCTGACAATGTTGAGCAAAGAATGGCTACAACGTGACAACGGTGGCAGCATTCAGGAGTTGAAGCACGTACGAAAGTATGTGGCAGAATCCTACGATATCCTACGCTTACTTTCTTGGCATTCTTGTGCTGAATTGGACCTTATACTGAGCCCAACACCACAGTTGTCTCATCTGCATCCATGTCTGAAATACGATCATCAACTTCCAGCTCATCACCAAGCAGCAAAGCACCAAGTACTGCATTCATGTCCTTGGTCAATCTGTCAGCTGCTGGCTGCTGACGCACCATGCATCCGAAAAGAACAATGAGTCGCACTGGCGCATGCTGCCACATGAGTCATGGCCGCTGTGGCCATCTGGCGGCCGACAGCATCCCAGTCCGAGGACGCCACTCGCAAGCGTTGGCTTTGGTCTGCAACACTGCGGCAAGTAGCCTGGTAGTGACCAGGGGTGAAAGGAGATGGCAAATGAGCTGCTTTGAGAACCTGCGGTAGCTCCCTATGTTGTATCAATCTGGCTCCGCTAGTGGTTATGCTATCCTTACGCGAGCCAGATTTTGGCGGAAGAAGAGCTTACGCAAGCTCTTACGAGCACTGAATTTGCAGAGTTTACAGTCACAGCTTATGCGGAAAGGTTCAAGAAGATGAGGACGCATGCGGCATGACGATGCTAATGAAGAAGCGCTTGAAGAGTGAGAAGCATGTTGCGGTTCCCTGCGCTGGCTTTTGCCATCCAGGAAAGGATATTGAGAAGGCACCACGGCTACAATACTAACTCACTTCGGAGGAGCGCGCTTATGTGACCGCTTACACGGAAAAATTGTGTGTTTCTGGACTCATGCCGATTGCAATCTATCATATACCGCTTCGTCTAACTCCCTGAACTACAAAGGAACAACTTACGACTGAATGTCTTTGTTTGTTTTTCCCTTTCTCCACCCTGGACTCCTGGACTTAGAAGGAAAAGAATGGAGCTTACGCAAGTGCTTCAGCATCCAGAGGTTTGATATGACAAGATCTTGACAAAACACATACAGCAAGGCTTTTTGAGTTGCTCAAATGGTCGAGTCGTGGCAGCCGTTTTTGGGGCCTGCAATTTCGTATGGCGACCGCGCAAGAGAGCACCACCTGCTTCGGCGGACCGCATGCTGTCAAGCTTGTCCTGCAAATCTGCACAGTCCTGGCCGGTGTCGGGTCAATCCTTCCCAAATCATGGGTTTCTTGTGGATTCTTTGGACGCTAGTAGGTTGGAGGCCATCGCTCTTAGGTTGGAGGCCATCCCTCTTAGCATGGAGGACATCGCTCTTGGGTTAATAACTCAACCTGGCGTCCCAGCTGAGCACTCCCAAGGCCGCACACCGCACAGAACCAGAAGACGGAAGCTTTTTGCTAAAAATCAAAAAGTGCTTGACTTTTTGGAAAGGACATGAAAGGACCAGTATTTCTTTTGACTTTTTGTACTTTTGAATTTTCATGTTTTCAATCTTTTGGAAAGGCCGCCTACACGCAAACAACGTTTCAACTTTTCAAAAAAAGCCACCTATACAGGTTGGTCTTTGTGTATTTGTCTGTTTCCCGGGGCGTTGTCTGGTATGTGCTCTTCGGCTCCAGGTAGCACAACTTGACTTAACTCATTAGACTAATTAGCAAGTTCGAGATCTGCATACCTGATTCTGCAACATTTCTCATGCGTGCTCATTCTGTTGACAAGCCCCCAATCTAAAATCTGAGCTGCTGATTTAGTCCTGCAACACCACTCCGTGAAGACCTTTCGTTTTCTCCAGTCTGGTCATGTCGCTCCTGCATCAACTTCACTCGATCCGAAAAGGTGATGCGCCTCGCTTCCTCCAAGCTCGCAAGCTCTTTGACATATCCTTCGCTTTGGGATGCCATAGTTTCTCGCATGGCTTTGCCAGCATCCCCCAAATCCACCCTCATCGAGGTCAAGTTGGCTTTCTCCTGGCTCACTTCACGCAAGCGCCGTTGAAGCCCGGCTTCTTTGCGTTCCAAGCGCTCCACCAACTGCCTCTCACTGTCGGCGGCCTGTTGTGTCTTCACGAGCCACTGAAGTGCACGTTCCATCTCTTCCAAATTCTCCAGATCCCCACTACTCCGATTCGCCCCATCGGTCACCCAGGACTCGGCTAACTTTTGCCTCATCTGTGAAGCCTCCAGTTCGGCCGCCTGAAGGTCCATTTGGAGCTCTCGCGCTTGGGCTTCGGCACGTAGAAGCACCTCAGAGTCCACCAATGATTTGGCCTGCTGCTCCACTTCGGTGCCCTTGGCCCTCACAGCATGCAAGTCGTTCTGAAGACCTTGTTCAACCTCAGTGACAAAAAGAACATTGTACCATCAGCAGAACTCCAAATCAGCTAATTCTGAACGTATCTTGAAATGTTTAGATCCTTGGGATGCCTTGTCCAAACCCATCAACTCTTGTCGAAGTTCAGCTTCTTGAGCTTTGCTAGCTTCAAATGCCTGGAGCTGCAAATGCTGTCTCGCAAAGGTTGTGAATCAAATCACATCAGTTGTCCCAAGACCAATGAATGGACGACTATTGACTAATTACTGAATCACAAATATTCAATTACGCATTTGGATTTGCAGCATTCTGCAGCTCTTGCAGATTCAAGCATCTGCAGTGCAAAGCATTGCGCCTGGAGCTGCGCTTGCTGTTCACGTACCAGCGCAAACTTCTTGGGGCCGAAGCTTTCCAATGACGCCTGAAGCGCCTGAAGCGTGATCAGATTTCCAACGACAAAGTGGCACAACCGATGCTCCAGTCCAACCAGTGAATGGAAATGGGAAACAAACGCATGGAAATGCATGGAAATGTAACATGTAGGAACAAAATTCTGTCAACATGTCAGCATTCATCCGGTCAAGTGCGTCTAGCTTCAGTGGGCCAGTTGCAGGCCTCAATTTCGTGCTCCAATGCCACACATGCGGCCACTCGGGGGTCTTGCGCCACCTGCCGGGTGCTTCATCAACGACTCCTGACTTCAGTGCGCCAAGGCAATCACAGAATTGTTCGCGACATGTGTCTCACTGCACCAACTAAGGGTAGCCACAAGTTGCATTTTCGGAGACAAAAGCTAAAGTCAGGCCCAGCCATGGAGAAAAGTTCGGGCATTGAAAACGCATGAAGTCAGTAGTTATGGTTCAATAGAAGTAATGACCAGAAAGAGTCCACAAGTTACACACATGCATAGTGTAAAACACACAGTGGTTACATGGTCAATTCGCATAGTGATCGGACGCCCTCATGTCAATTTGCTTCGTGGTCATGTGAGGAGTGGCTTCTCATTGCCTCTTCGCGAAGGCTGGCACATTCCTCGACAAGTTCCTCCTCACAATAAAGAAGTGTCTGTTTCTTCAGCAGTGCTCGTTCCCCAGATTCAAATTCTCTGAGTGTTTTCGCATGCTCTCGCACATTTGTTCTCATGCTGTCTACAACACAACCATAGCCGCCATAGCCAGCCTAACACGTCCCCTATCTGCCACCATACGTTAGACACACTCAGCACACGTAGCTTCTGACTCTTACGCAAGTGACGTCTACATTGTCTCCCATTTTCAGTTTCCGACGCCTGGCGCTGCTGTAGGGACTGCCGGGCCTGGCGCAACGCCGCCAGCACTCGCTCGGAGCGCAGCAGCTCCTGGTGCTCGGACTCCTGCGCCGTCTAAAGGTTCAACACCCAAGCACAGTGCTTTGTCTAGCCTGTTTTGGGGGAGTTGGGGCACCAAAAGGTTTGGTGTTGGGTAAGGTTTGGCGTTAGGTCGTATTTTTTTAAAAAATATCATTCATAATTCATACACTATGGGTTTCTACATCTTCGCGGCAAATCCCCAGCCAAGGACACTTGCAGCAACTACCTAGCGGCTTTGACAAACTCATATTAAGCCATGCATTTCACGGAGCCGCCCCGCAGTCCCAGGTGTTCCGCACAACATCGAGGTTGTCCATAGCATTGCGCAAAGGTGTTGCAGTTTTTGCAGCTTTGGGGCTTTGAAGTTGACATGTGCAAAAAGTACAGTTTTGGCTGCGCACCATGCAACCAATGACAAACCAGAAAAAGTATAACTCGTGCAGAAATGATGACAGAATGGTTGCTTTCCCAGATTGAATGAGCTACTGTGGCCCCACTTACTTCAAGATTGATCGCAAAAGGACACGTGTGGCTGTGCGCGCTTTGGAGTTTGGGTGCTGGTGCCGGTGCCGCTGCCAAATGTGTGGCCGTGTGCGCTTTGGAGCTTGGGTGCTGGTGCCGCTGCCAAATGTGTGCCCGTGTGCACCTTGGAGCTTTGGAGCTTGGGTGGTTTGGGTGCTGGTGCCGCTGCCAATTGTGTGGCCGTGTGCACTTTGGAGCTTGGGTGCTGGTGCCGCTGCCGAATGTGTGGCCGTGTGCACTTTGGAGCTTGGGTGCGGGTGCCGCTGCCGAATGTGTGGCCGTGTGCGCTTTGGAGCTTGGGTGCTGGTGCGCAGGATGCCGCTGCGAGATGTCTATGGCCGTGTGCCGGTAATTAATGTTTAATGGACATTTTATGACATGTTCATCTACTCCATTCGGAATGCAACTTCTTTGGCCTACAGCCATGTAGTGAAATTGACTGCACCTATAAGTGATGCAATGCGCTTCCGTAGCAGGTGCGATGCCGCGATGTCGCCTTTGGATCCTCTTATTTGATTATAGTTTTTAGATGTTTTTAGTATTTATAAACGGAGCAGCTTACTCTTACGAAGCAAGGACTTTGCCAGTTTGGAAATGCGCAACAAATACCTATGCACTTGTCCGTCAACATCTGCTTGCCTTTGAGCTATCAAATTTGGCTATCCACTTGTGTCAATGTGGTAGCCATATTACAATGCGCAATGTGTCATGCACCTGAAGTTGCAACACAAGCTTGGATGTCAAGTTATTGAATCAATTCATGTATTGATAAATCTGGCCATGCACCTTCACGAGCTACAGTACAATCACACAAGAACCAATCAAATCAATCAACTGGCACCCCAGCAGTTCTTTTACCTCCTGCTTTGCTTCCAGGCAAGCTTCTGTGGCGTTGCCGGTTGGAGAGGTGTCAATGAAGTAAAAGCATCGTGTTTCAAAGGTCCGTGGGTCATTTGCTCATCATCGTGGAGTACAACATTCAGAGGACGCTCTCAGCACTTCAGCGACTAGTTGATGGCGAACAGCTTCGCAGCTCCCACCATATCTAGGATAACCCCACCTCAGCCAGGTTGCGATATGCACAAAAAGTGGGTGGCTTCAAGCAACAGGTGCATGCAATTGTTTTGGTTGTCCGTTCTCCACTTGTTCCATGTTATTTATATAAATGAACCGTCACACAGTTGAATTCTGGCTACCCAGTACATCCATCCACCAGGCCACATGGTCTCCCGAACGGCAAGAAATCACCTAGTTTATGCTAGTTTGTAAGTTGCATTTCCTGTCTCGAACAGGCGCCTTCTATGATAACCTATTACGAACGTAACCTTCTACTGAACCTTCTATAATCATCCTCCTGTCAAGGCAAAGTACGGTACTTGTGGATATTGTTGAGACTTGGCCACCGCACGTCACCAGCGTGCCATCACGCTTCACTGCTGCGAAGGCACACTCTGCCGGGTAGATGCGGACAACTCCTGTATCACAAACAGGCGAAAAAATCGCCTACTGAAAGTTGGAAAGCCACTAGAAGCAAACAGTTATATACTAGTAGGGATGGCCACCTAGTAGCTTCTTGATTCTAGTAGCTTTCTAACTTAGGCAGGCAAGTTTTTTCCCCTCTCAACTATCCCGGAATCTACTCCTCTACAATCCTCACGTATACGTTTCTCCAATCAGCACTGAGACCTCTGTCATATTGCAGGATACCGCTTTCTGGTGCCAAGCGCGAGGTTTCTAGGTTCTGAAGCCTGCCTGAAGTGAGCTGATCCTCCACGCGGCTGGTGTTTCCACCGTAGACAGGGCTGCCCCAGGCAACGACCTCAGGTGGGCGACCACTAGGGTTCCATGTTGGACGTCACTACCCGGCAACTTCCTGCAGTGTCAAACAGAATGGCTCAGAATGGTGGATGGTTTTCCAAAAAGTGACCTTTTTTTGGAACACCCTTTGCCTTTGCTACAATTGTCTACCCAACTCTCAACACCTCCAAACAAATCTTGCCAGTTGCAAACGAACTGGGCTCTATGCAGAGCCATCTTTCCGAATTGCTGCAAAGGCAGCATGGCTTGCATAAATGTCCTGCCGCCAATGAGTCTGCGTCAAGCCCAGAATGGCAATTTGTTGCTCTTGCCACACCACGCCGCTGGAAATGTCGATGAGAACATGTTGCCAAAAGGTGAATCAAACAAATCACATAGAACAAATCAACACAGTGGTCCAAGTAGTAAGCTCATTGGGATGCCAAGATCCCCAAAGGCTTCCACATTCTTCCAGCCTGCACTTCCTGAAGCTGATTCTGCACGCCATCACCTCATGGCATCAAATGCCACGATCAACCGACAGAAATGGCTTGTCAAGTTGGGGTGATGATGCAATACAACATTGGCAGCTACTAGTAGACTGTCGACTGGAAGAGAATCTGTCCACTATGTCCAGTGTTCCTGGCACAAGCTGTCAAAATACTTCGCACGCACAGCAATATGGCAAAGGCACTGCAACCTCCAGCGTTGGGGTCACCCCATGTCACAACCTCACGAGCAAGCAAAATCAATTTGGGACGAGCTGGTGAGAAACATCAAGAATCGTGAGACCACAATCAGGGCCCTGGCAGATCCATCGGCTTTCACTGCTGCGAAGGCAGCGCTTGTAGCAAAAAGCCGGGTCACAGAGTTGTCCAAGTGAGTTTGCACACTTGAACCTCAGAAATGTTGAGGCAGTCAACCGCGAGAATGGAGCTTTCCACTTGAAGCCACATCCAACCGGCTAATGTCGCCGTGCCAAGGCACAGTCACCTCCGGCCAGTTCATTGCCCCAGCTCCTTATTCCACGGCAGCCCGCAGTATTTATATAGTATAATGCCACTCGCAGCGCAGGTGCCAATCAACCAGGTCACAAGTCGTCACTCGGGTGGGTGTGGCGCCCACCACCCAACCACAAGGGACAATCATTCGTCCTGATGGTGTGTCATTTTCAGCTTCGCTCAATCATGCCAAAGCCTCTTTGTGCTTCGACTCTAAGCTGCAAGGCACATCTGTGCTTGACATCTGAAAGGTTGCGGCGATTTCAATCGCCTCGAACCCTTGGGACTGACTCTCAGCCTCTCCGTGATCTTCAACCTGTGTTCGAAAAAGAACAGACCGCTCCGCCCTCTAGCGATGGCCTAACCTAATAGTGGATCCTTACACTTGCATATATCATGCGTATACCAATTTCAATGTGCGTGGCTATATTGCAACCGAAAGCCCTACAGTAGTCAAACCGGAACCCTCTTTCATGCCGCAAACATACACATACCGTCACAACCCGTCACACGCACACACACTTATGGATATGCGTACTGACTTGACAGCGGTGCCACACGCCGGCCTAGGGTACCATTTCCTAAGAGTACAAGTAGGAAACCACTGGAGCCTCGGGGTCCTCAATCGGAGAAGGAACCAAACTCGCAAGTCGAAGTCAAAACGACAGGGTGACGACGTAGCGTGCAAGTCTGCGGAGTGTCAAGCTCAACTCAGCAAAATTAAAATTCAAGCAGGTACAGGTGGATGATCAGTCCACCCCTCCCTCGTCATACCGTAGCTTCGTTGCGCACGGTGGGTATGACGAGCCGTACGCCCCTGCTGAAGTAAAAGAAAACAATCCAAAAGAATCCCTGTGACTACAAGGGGGAACACACACACGGACACACAACCATACCTTTCTCTCTCTCTCTACATATATATATATATATGTGTGTGTAAACGACATACGGTCAGCTGTCAGAACACAGCATGTCTTCTTGCAAAGTGTTCTGATCGTATATTATATCGATGACATCGACCGCAGTGATGCTGCCCAATGCTGCCATGCCATGCTGTCTCTTGGGCCTGTGGCTCCTCGAAGAGCCTGCTTCGCATGCAAGTCCACGTCCACGGTAGAGGAGCCGACACCCGTTTGAGCATAGCAACTGGCAGCTATCACCTATGGCTGTCAGGTCAGTACAGGCCGCTGCAACCGCAAGGGGGTCTCTCAAGCCGACGCTGGAAGAGTAGACTTAGCATGTACTAGTAACAAGGGCATCGCTACTAGTAACAATGGCGTTACTACTAGTAACAAGAAGCTACTAGCAGCGATGCACTTGTTACTACAGTAGTAGTCTTAGCATGTACTTTTAGCGCTCCTTTCCACTCTTCATTTGGGCGTTTATGGGTTTATCCTATGCTTCCTCTGGAGCATGGGAACACAAGTTCTCGTAAGCCTTCATGGGGTCAAGTAGACATACACGTTTGTATTGCATGTTTTGCCTTATAAGCCAACATAGGAATATAAACTCGTGTCAGTCATGGGTGATGACAGGTCAAATGCCATGTAGTAGAGACTAGTTCCTCGCCATTTCTACTGTAAGTTTGTCATATTCATCCATGCTTGGGAGTGCAACTTTGATCAACTTTGCAGTTCTGCGCGCCAAGGTGCATACAACACACACAGGTGGCCATAGAACACCTCAAAGTCAAAGAATTCAAGGTGACTGGTGAGAGCAATCATGGTATGTCATAGCAGGTCATGTGCTTGATCTTAAATTAAAACTCAGTAGGAGTAGGAGTAGGAGTAGGAGTAGTGGTAGTGGTAGTGGTAGTGGTAGTGGTGGTGGTAGTAGTAGTAGTAGTAGTGGTGGTAGTGGTAGTAGTAGTAGTAGTGGTAGTGGTAGTGGTAGTGGTAGTAGTAGTGGTGGTGGTGGTAGTAGTAGTAGTGGTCGTAGTCGTAGCAGTAGTAGGAGTAGTAGGAGTAGGAGTAGGAGTAGGAGTAGGAGTAGGAGTAGGAGTAGGACTAGTAGTAGTAGTAGTAGTAGTAGTAGTAGTAGTAGTAGTACTAGTAGTAGTAGTAGTAGTAGTAGTAGTAGTAGTAGTAGTGGACTACAATCCGTGCCCTGATTGGTGCTTGCACTGGTGTCCTAGAATCATCTCTCGATTCTCAATCTCTTCCCCTCTGAAAAAAGCTGACAAAGTGTTGCAGCCGCTCGGCTTGGCTCAGGTGTTCTTCATTTCAAAAACAAACACTTGAAGGCAATCCCATCTCCTTCCACAGCTCATCTAACTTCTGAGTCACTGCCACCAGCTGTTCAGGAAGCAAATAAACATTCATACAAAAGTACATATTTAATCTTTCGCCAAAAAAAAATTTACTTTCGCCAACTCGAGAAAAAACTTTCGCCAAATGAGATTTGGATATGTTCCGGGTCATCGTCATACACACTGCTGACTAGGACCTTTAGATCGACAACCACCTGTCGTTCTTAGTCTTTCTTTTTATCATGCATTTATCTTGTCTTGACAGTCTTGTCCAGTCAAGGGCTGGCATGTCGTCCACTGCGGGGCCTCATGATCTGAGCTTACGACCCAAAGGAAGGCATCGCGCTTCAGCAAACGCTCGGTAAAATTTCGAAGCAGCTGTTCCTCAACTGGGCAAACAGATCCGACCGACATCCTTAAAGTAACAGGCATGGCACTGTGCCTATTCCGTGGCGTGTCTGCAAGGCTCCCACTGGCCAACCACCTGTTCAGTTCTTAGTCTTAGACGGATGTCACAAGCGCAGGTTAAGACAACCGCTTATGACACTTTATGACTTTGATTTAACTAAGATCTACCAGTGGAAGTTGCACTAGAAGTCGCTCATTTCATCTTGTTTCTGAATCTTGATGTTGATTCCGCCAGCAACGCGGCCCGTTCGTCCCGTTTCTTTTTCTTTGGCACGTGCTTTTTTTCGTTGCCTCCCAGCACACCGAGAAGGCCAAGGCACCAGGATCTCCCGCAGCACCCCGAGCAAACCAGTGGCGCGCTTCACTGTGGGGCGACGAGGAGTCCGCGCGTTTGCGTGAACAATGGGACGCGCGTTGAGCTTCCTCCTGGGGCACGGATGACTCAAATGAGTGGGGACCCAAAAAGGAAGAAACATGAAAGCCAATGTTCAATGCGATTTGGTTTGGAAAAATCTGCAACTTGATAAAGAGAGCCACAAAGCTCAATCCCCAATGGATTGGCCTCTACTCAAACTGCTCTGCCAGCATTCCAAATCCAGCCCAAGACACTGCAGCGCACTGCACTGAGTTTCCAGGACATGGATGCGAGCCTGTAGTTCCCCAACGTCCTCCCACATTCAGCGTCATCCGGTTCACCATGTTCATTGAGCTATCAACCAAAGATCATTCAGTCAATCATTGAAACGCCACAATTGGTTAACACTACGTTCTTGCCTGTCTAATTACTCATGTGTTCTGGCATCAGGTTGCACGCATGCCTGGAAAGGAACATTTGCATTGTCGAGCATGTTGGAATCTATCAGGGCAGCCCTTTGTCTGGACTGGTGCTCATGTTGAGAAGGCTGCCCTTGATCTACTTGAATCTCCTGTGAGTGCATGTTGTTCGACCTTGAACATGCCGGTTTGTAGATCAGTCATCCTTTTTGGGGATCTCATCTCCGGTTCTGCGCTCATAATCCCAGCCAACCGCCCACAACCATTGGCATTTTTATTGTGGTCTGCTTACGCAAACTGTGCACTTCAACCTTGCACCCCGCGTGCCCAAAATGAATGCACATAACATTTAATCACTCGGAAGAGCCATTAAGCCGCTACCACTACCTGTCCGCTTCTCAGCTCATCAGGCACCCAAAAAGGCAAGCATGCTAGGAATCAAATGGGCAAACATGCCGCTTAAAAAACTAGAACATGAAAAGTGCATGCTTCTCAGTAAAATCAACAACCATAAACCCCAAAAATAACTTTCCAAACAACAACCAACCAAAACTCTTTGTCTTAAACTGTTAACCCCTGGGTGTATTGAGTGTGTTCCTGTTGCAGCATCACTGTATGGAGGCTCTCCTCCACGGCGTCGAAGCTACCAGCTGCCAATGCCGAGATTGACACAGGTCCCTCCTGCTCGTCCTTCTGATTTTCCTCCTCCTCGTCCTTCAAGTTCCAACTGATGTTGCGGAGGCTTTAATGCGGGCACCGCCCAAGCTCAACACAATCAACCTCATAAGGTGAATGTTCTCAAAAGCCTCCAGAATATTGCATCATATTGAGAAATTCATGGTGTAGCGGTGGAGTCCTTGTCTTCCAGCTCTGTGGCGGGCTTATCCGCTGGCTGTTGGGGGCTTGGAAGCGAGTCCTGATTGGCCTGGCACATTGTTGAGCAAAGAAAAAAAGGCAAGATTATGACATTGCATTTGGGTCTAGGCCAATGACTTCATTCCTTCAATATCTTCAATTCAGCAATGGATGATGATGATGATGATGATGATGATGATGATGATGATGATGATGGTTCATCCATCACGGTTAAGCATATAATATATTAAGTAAGTAGCAGCAGCGTGGGTACTCGCGTGGGTCTTTCCGAACGAGCACTCGCTTGCGACGAGTGCTCGTCTCCGTTTCTGTCGCCGCGGCTCTTTCAGTCCAGGCCTTTTCGGTCTCCAACTCGTCAATGCCTCGGCCCAAGCGCAACGAAGTGGAGACCGGTGCCCAACGAAATGGGTCAAATGGAAGGTTACTTTTGGAAACAGCCAACGAGTGCAACAACAGGGTGAGCCGGGTGAGCTCTCAAAAAGGCAAAACTGTTTAAAACGGTCTGGGCCTGGGCTGCCTGATGGCGCCTTTCTTCTTTTCAACTTTGGTTGGTTTTGTCTTTTTTCAAACTTTTTTCCGGGCTGCGTCGTTGAAGCTCACTGACTTGCCGGTCACAGCGGGCCTGCAAGCTGGAAACCTGCCACTCTTTGGTCGAAAGAATCCCGGGTTAAGAGCGTCAATACACATTAATCGACTCCAAGACAAAGCAGCT